AATTCGACAGGGTTAGAAATAGAGCACCTTGCGGTGAATGCATGTTTTTCCTTCAAAACTTCACGTAGATGGCGGAAAAAACCTTGAAAATTTCCAAATTCAACTGTCAAATGGATTGCATTTTGCAAAAAGGAACCACATTGCAATGTTGCTTAGATTGTGCAACTTCTTTTGTCTTGGAGGATAAACCCGATTATCCATTAATAGTTTCTATTTTACTCGCTAAAAACTGTAAGTTTAAAACAAAAATTACCATCTAAATTTCATAGTTTTTCACGATTTCCGCAATTTTATTGCAAAAGATGAAGTTGCCTAATCTTAGCATCATTGCAATGCTAGTGGTTCCATTTTGCAAAATGCAATCCAAATATGGAAGGGGCTATCCATTATTGACGTCATCGGGTTCTCAGGGGGAGAGGAAAAGGGGTCTAGAACTGTCCGAAAAATTACTTTAAACAAGGGTTGAGGGAGAGAGGGGAGCGAGGGGCTAAAAAATCGGATGAAGTGTTTAACATCATTTGGACTGCATTTTGCAATTTAGACCTATAGATGCTGGCTTATCTGAAAAAACACTTATGTGCATAGGGAAACTAATGGCGCATAAGTTGTTTTTAAACCGGGCTGGAATTTATAGGTCCAAATTGCAAAATGCAGTCCATTTATGGACGGCACCTCGTATGAGCCACAGGTGGATTCAAGAGAGGGGCGTAGGGAGCGTACGCCCCCCCTCCCCCTCAATGTCACCCTGTCTGCGCGCACCCTTGTCCCTCATGTACCCTGTTAATGTATTTGCTCTCCACCTTTCCATGGAGAGTTTGACTTGATACAGAGATGGACTCTCCGGATGGCGTGGGATATCCCCTCCATTACGTTCTCAACTTTGAGAGCTTATTTTGAGCTTTGGTGTTTATTTCAGAGAAAACCTAGCATTGTGTTTTCCACGAAATTTTATAATTAGTATTTAAATCGCAAATTCCTGACACATGCAAGAGCTCCATTTCAGTCGCCAAATTATGTGACAACCTTGTTACCTTGACAAGTTTTGAGGAACAGGATTTCTGGAACGGGAGAGATAAGGAACTCCTTGCGTCCTCGCAGAGGCTCACAATGATTTCGGGAGAGATAAGGAACTCCTTGCGTCCTCGCAGAGGCTCACAATGATTTCGGTCCAATTTGACATCACTCGTCGCACAGTTGACTCGTAAGTTAGAGTCCCTTTATACCCAGAGTTACGACAACTCACTTTTGGTTGGGCCAGGGTTTGGCTGAAAGTGGCCTACAAAAAAATCCAATTCTGATTGGTTCTCGCTCATGGAGGCCGAAACGAGTGCACCAAGATGGCGGTACCTCGTATGTGAACAAGAATAATGAAAATATTACCTAATTGTGGTTTATCAAGAGTAAATTGTCATTTCCATCGGTCCAAAATGAAAATAGATTAAGAAATTATTCACAAACCAATCTCATTTTATTTTTAATTGATCAGTTTGTTGATGTTGTTGTTTTTGTGTGACAGACATCGCAGGATTCCTGTTCCTTATCCCTCAATATCGTTCGTTTGGGTGCACTCGTTTCGGCCTCCATGGCCAGCCAAGACCGGCTGTCAGTCAGCTGATAATTGAGTTGTCGTAACTCTGGGTATAAAGGGACTCTATCGTAAGTGAGTTAAGTGAGGTTGCGACGGGTGCCGAGTTCCTGAACGAAACATGCGTTTTTTCATTATCATGCGCACCCACACACGTTTGAGTCATTCCCTGCAAGATCTAGGTCGCGTGCGATTGTCCTTTCGAGGTGTCGCAACTCTCATTGAAGAGCCTCCTTCCAAGAGGCGGCCTTTCCTCCCGAGATCGTCCTCCGTTCGTGGAGTATGGGTACCCAGCAGGGAAGCGTGGGATTGTCAATCCGAAAAATAATTAAAAAATAAAGCACAATGAAAATGCATCGTTCCAAGTTCGAATACTATCGTTAAAACTATATACGAATGTAAAACGATGAGAGACAACGATTCATCAGTAATCTGCGACAACTTAACGTGCATTATACTAATTTATACATTGAAATATATAGCTGAAATACGGGAAGCGAGGTTTAAAGAAGATACAAATAAAAAAACCTAAATTAACGTTTTGAAGTATCACTCAGCCATTCTCAATCGACGAAACGTTCAGAGTAATAAAAGTACAGGTATATAATAATGTCCACTGGTTGAATATTGGAGTCCCGAAAGTAAAAGCTTCCACCATTGCGGAGATAGCGACAGAGTGTCTCTTGTCTCTGTTGCCCGGCCATCCCTCTCTTCTCTCGAAACAAAATCCTGACCATGCGTTTGCTCCATTAGGCATTCCTTTCTTCTAAAGCTCCAGATACTCCTGCTTGCTAGACGCGAAAAGTAGAATTCGATCCTTCTTTGAGCAAGTTACGGGCGGCGAGTTGGAACCTAATCGGCTACGGAGATCATAGGGTACATAGAGTCGTAAATCGTAATGTAAACCCTGGTAAAAATCGGCGATAAGAGCTGCGTTCCAAAATATCATAGGACTTCTTATAGCCGGCTAAAGAAGGCTACAGAAAATCATATAGCTGGCTGTAGAATGCGGAGAAAATCATACGGCCGGGCTATACGAAGTGATAAAAAATTATGCAGTCGGGCTATAGTTCCTATCGCCGGGCTTTACACTTTATCGCCTGGCTGTTGCTTTTTCGCCATCGATTATAAAAGGCTATAAGAAATTGTGTAGAAATTCGTGTGCTTTGGAAATCATTAAGTTTGATACGGATCCACCTTGATATTTACAAAACACACATTATATTTTCCTTTAATGCATATTTTTTTTTTTCATCAATTAAAATGAGAATAATCCATGCAGGATGTGCAAACTTTTTAAAATCATGAGTTGAATAACGCTGACTCCGCCAGATTAAATATTAGAGCCTAACACAAAGCGGAGCGGCGACGCACTGGCGCCTACAAACCTAACAGGGATACTTCACGCATTGCGCAATGCGTGAAGTATCCCTGTTAGGTTTGTAGGCGCCAATGCGCGTTTCGCGCTGGCTGCCCGCCTGCCGCGCCGCAGCGTGCCACGGCGCTTGAAGCAACTATTTCACACCAGAGACATTGCACAGTATCACAATATCATACGAAACTGAAGGCGCCCTAATATATTAGGATTGGCAGGCATCCATCAAAAGTACGGAGCTTTCCTGGCAAAATAAATCAAGATACTACGGCCCTAAAAGAGAGCAGTAGTCCAAAAACTCACTAGCATCCGTAATTAGTAACGTCTAGTATACACTTTATCACCTGGCTGTTGCTTAATCGCCATCGGCTATAAAAGGCTATAGGAAATAGTGTTGCCGGCTGTAGAGGCTGTTGGAAATCTTACAACCGGCTGCAGGTCTATGGTATTTTGGAACACAGATTCTACCACTAATTTTTACTAGAGAATGGGAGAGCTGGCGCCTTTTGTGTGCATTTTCCAGGTCCCAAAGTCTGAGACTCCTGTATCACACTGGATCACTTTTTCGATTCATAACCGATTGTCTTCGATACACGGGGACTCGGCCATCCGATGTAAACAAAGAGGATATAAATTATTGCGTATTCAGATTCTACATCGCCATTTAGGATCGAAAATGGATCGAAAAAGTGAGCAAAGCTCGGCGGACACCGGGCTCGGAACTCGTCGACCAGAACCTGGCGCCAGCTATCCTTTTCACATTACGACTCTATGTACTATATGAGGGCTACTCGCTGCTCAAGACGCGCATCTAGCTCGCAGGTGTATCTGGCACTCCAAAGCTCTGCTTATCGGAAGCTCCTCTATTCGGCGGCGGTGTCGCACAAATATAGAACGGAAGCGGGTGGTGGGCCAGGACCGGGCATCGGGCACCGGGGCCGGGGGAAGAAGGAACAAGCGCAAGCGACGAGGAATCGGTGTCTTGGGCAGGAGGAAGACGAGCGAGGTCGAGGGTCGCGTCGGTGGCTAATCAAACAAGGTCTACGCTAATTAGTCGTCGGGGACAAGGGGGACGACCGTGCGCCAAGCGCCGAGCAGAGAGATAAAAGCCACCATGTTGTCGGCAGCCCCCGGCCCCCGGCGAAAGGGGCCAACGAGGACAAACAATGTGTCCTGACGAGTGACGACAGGATGTGCCAACGCGGTGTCGACAAGGTCTCATCCTCAGGAACCTACCCCAATTTAATCTAGCGTAGAATTTGGCAACCCGTAAATGAATCAACTCGAGTAAATATTGTCATTGGGAACCACAATTTTTGGCTCAGTTCAGAAACAACGTGTGTACCATTAGTTTCCCTACGCACGTAAGTGTTTTTACGGAGGAGCCGCATTTAAGTTTCTAATTTCGAAATGTAGTCCGACCAGAGTTGACCTCTGGATCAATAGACAAGAATGACGATTAGGTGTCGCAGAGCGCCCGGGCGCGCTGTAAAAACGACTTGAATGTGTGTAGTCCAACTTGAGTTCATATACCTACAGGGAGAGTTCTGTCGGCTCCCTGATTGGTCTTCTAGTCGAAGTCGTGGCGTGGACTGGCCCGGGGAGGCTGGGGGCGATGGCCCCCTTTCAACTTTAGTCCAAAGGGTGCCCTGAAGTTTTAGGGCCCATTTCGATACTTTTCAAGGAAGCTTGTAGCGGCTGCGTCTCAGAGCCTCTTTTGAACGCTTCCTCTTCGCTTTGATTAAGAGGGGCACCCAATCCCTAATCCACTTTTTGACCACCTCTTGTTGAGGCTTTTAGTGGGGGTTTTTAAGCTTAATTTTGAGTCGGAGCTCACCCAGGCGCTTGAGAGTACCACCTCAAAAAAAGAATTCAATAGTTGATGAAGCTGTCCATTTTATACTTGGCTGGACATTTTAGCCTCATTGTTAAATTCTATGTACCTTTAACTGTCCTTGATTCTTAGGCTAAAGGCTTAAATCCAATATCAAATCTTCTCTCTCAAGTAATAATTGTTTTATCCTCCTTATTCTGTTACAGAAACAAACCTAATGATCGAAAAAAAATCCTGAAACGGGAGAAAAAATGGTTGCATATGTTAGAAGACTGGCAAAATTACATGGATAAACATCATAAAACGGTATTTACTTTTTAAGTTTATTTATTTAGTAATCTTAATCATTTGTCATAAGCTGTGCCTTTTTGAATGTCAAATTTAAAATATATCTGTCTTATAATCATTTACTGTAAATCCTATAAATTAATTTAAAAAACAATGAGATGTGTAGCATTTAACGATTAAATGATGCCAGAAAAATCATGATTTTTTATCGAATATAGGCAGATCATGTAGAAATCTATGAAGTAAAATATGAATTGCTGAAATTACTTTATTTGATGGAATAATTTTTTGATTTTATGCCCTAGGTAAGAGAACGATGTAGGAAAGGGATTCCTGCATCCATCAGGCCTAGAGCATGGCTATTCCTGTGCGGTGGTAAACTACTATTAGACAAACATCCGTACCTGTACTCAGATTTATTAAAAAAAGAGGGTGATCCTAGGTGGATAGATGACATTACTAAAGACTTACACAGGCAGTTCCCTGACCATGAAATGTTTGCATCTCAGCAAGGATATGGGTGAGCGATTAAACCTAATTCTAGTCACTGTTGTTTTCATCTAAGTATGTTTGTTTGTAAATAGATCCCAAGGAGGAATGCCACACTGTTATAGCAACCAATCCCAGAGTGTATGCCATGAAAAAGTCCTTAATTATCTGATGTTGAATTTGAGGAGATTGTATCAATGCACTCAAAATCTTGAACTTTTTTGTCAATCGATGGCCATGTTCACAACCACTCACCTCTATTTGTAGATTGGAGAGGATTAATGTATGAGAGAGGGAATCGTCCATTTTTAAGGCTCTCTATACAATCCTCCAAAATTTAGTATCAACTCTTGAAAGTCCTCGAGAAAATTTCCAGAAGTTCTTAAAAATTCCTTAATTTTATCTTTGAAAACTCATGAAAAAGGCTCATCAATTTCGCCTTCGTGAGCTCTTATCATCCATGCACAACCCACTGGAACGAACCATGTATTATTTCTGTTTTCTATTCATAGTCCAGATCATAAAAAGCCACGAGGTCAAAGAATTAATTCATCTGTTTTTCTGTTTTTCTGTTTTTCAATTTCATTAATCATCAATTTTGAATTTGAAATGAAAAAATTGTGTAAAGGTTCTGGTGATTATGTTACTTGCCTGCAAATGGCTTTGCACGATTTGGTAGTTATCAAAATACATTTGTTTCCTTTTTCTAGAGAGGTAATGTTTTGTTTTGTTTTGTTTTTTCAGGCAAAGAGATTTATTTGATTTATTGAAAGCATATTCCCTGCTGAATCCAGTAGTTGGTTACTGCCAAGCTCAAGCTCCTATCGCTGCATTTTTATTGATGCACATGCCCGCAGAAGAGGCTTTTTGGTGTTTTGTGTCGGTGTGTGATAAATATTTGACTGGATACTTTAGTCAAGGAATGGTAAGTGTTCACGGCTCAACCATTTTTTACCTTTCTTCAAGATGGTTACCATGTTGCTATTCAAGTAAATTTGATAATTTTGTACGAGTATTATTGTAGGAATAGGGATAGTATTTGGACCGTGTTTAGCAGAAAGGAACCAAGCCATATATAAGCTATTGTCAAATTTAACGCAGTAATTTGATTTATTACAAGAGAACGTTTGCGCAGATTTCTTTGAAAATTTTTAGGAATTTGCTTTGGACTTTGCAAAATATTAAATGAAAGCACTAAAATCTGCATTATTTTAGTGCCTCCACCTGTTAGACCAATCATAAACCTTTAAAGAAAATTAAGAAAAGAATCATCATTTTGCTTTATTCTATCAAAAATATTTTCTGAACATTTTATTTATAAAAACCAATTCTTCTCCAAATTGGCAAAAGTTCTGTAACTTTGATTGTTTTCAAGAGAAGTGTTCTTCTAGTTTTATCATCCATTGACACTCTGTTAATACTATATAAATGCACTTTATGTACCAATTTTCTCTCTTCTTTTTTCTATATTAATCTAATTTTTTCCTTCCTTTTTATTTTTCAGGAAGGAATTAAACTAGACGGAGATATTTTATTTGGTTTATTGAAGAAAGTAGCACCAGAAATTTACAAGCATCTGGTGAGCATTCTCCAAAATTATTCCTTTCTTTTCTTAAGCTTTCAATTTTCACTGGCGTCTTTTATATTTGCGTACCTACTAGAAGGCTGTGCATTGATTTTGAGACTTGTCTGATGATGGATAAATGGCTAAGTAATTAGCCTCAAAAAGAAATGATTTTTTTTCTAGCATAATCTTGAGCCATTCTTATATCTGTGTATTGGCTAAACCAACTAATGCAATTTTCACTGTTGAAATCTAAGACACTCTGTGTTTTAGTTTGAGAGCCAGACATTTAGTGAAAAAACCGTGACATAAGTCGTGACACTTAAATCCACACTAATAAGGAAAATGGGTGTCTGCAACATAATGGCACAAGCTACAACATGGCAGACGACCATTTTATCGACCATATTTAGACGACTCTGTCTGTACAAGTTAATCTATCGATTTAAGTGGTCTAGACTCGTGTCACCAGTTTGCCCCTAAATACCATTGGGCTCTCAGACTATTTCCACTTTATTTCTTGGGTCAAAATACTTGAATATTATTTTCTTTAAGTTCTCCTGAATCACCTCTGCTATTTTTACTAACTTCTTTTGTCATTTATTGTTTCAGAAAAAGCAAACTATTGAACCAATCTTGTATATGACCCCCTGGTTTCTGTGTGTTTTCATTCGAACTTTGCCCTGGGACACACTCCTTAGAGTTTGGGACATGTTCCTTGTCGAAGGTATGAATGTTATTTCATCTGTTAAGTTAAATACACAGGTTAACAGGGCTTTTGTGCCTGTGCTTATTATTTTACTTACTCATTTTTTAATCTTAAATAATTTTAAAAGTATCAATAAAAAGATTTGTTGATCAAGTTCTACGTGAGGAAATGGAACTTGAAATCGCCAAAAAAACCTATCTCTGTTATAATTTGAGATCTTAATTTGATTCACCTTTAGATTTTGACTGCACCCTAGATGCTAGATTTTTATCAGAAGTCAATTGAAAATCCACTGTACATCCTGTCTCCTTTTATGTTGATTTCTAATCTTAAGCTGATGTTATTTTTCAGGTGTTAAAATAATTTTCAAAATGGCAATAGTTTTGATGAAATTAAGTTTGCATGGCAAACACAAAACCTCCTATTCAGTCATCAAAAAGAAACATCCAACTATGTATGAAACTTTAGAGGCATTGCGAAATCCTCCATTTGAAGAACTGCGCAAAGAAGATGAGATCGTTAATCTAGTAAGTTCAGTTTGATCGTTGAATGCTTTCATAAGATAAGAATTTATAATTTTTTTTATTCAATGTAAGTTCAAAGGAGCTTTTTTTATAACTCAGAAATTGTCAAAGATGGAAACAAGTTTGATATTGATACTTGTGGAAGTACTGGCTAAATTCATCTTTCTAAGTCTCAGATATTTTCTTCAGTCAAAATCTACATTGTTTTTCTTTTAGAGTGTAGAAAACATTATGACATGATGTAACAAATTTTCAACTCATCAATTCCTCAGATCAAGTGATTTTTCAGTAACTTAAATGAGTTGTAGGAAACCTTGCTCGTTTTTTTAATAACATAACATTCTCTAATCAAACACTGGAGGCTATTTATTGAAATCATATGTTTGTCAGCCAGTCATGACTAGGCTAAGATTAAATGGAGCTATGTTGTTAGCTGTTCTGATCAGATAACTCGCCGTTTACTTGCAAGCCCTTTGTCGGACCAGATAATGAACTGGTTGTTGGACAGCAAGGAGATGCCCCCAACTATTTGACTATTTAGGTAATCCAGCATTTTGTTTTATTTTTTTCTTTCAGATTTTAAAGTTAAATTTGACCGATGAAGACTTCGATTACGAGCATATCCGGCAACTAAGGAAGAGGAGAACCCAACAAAATAGACAGAACGCAGCTGCAGCTCGCTGATGTGAAGACCATCAATACACTCTGCCCTGCTCTCTATGTCATCCTTGGTTCAATTTTCTGAGTCTGAGTTGAGCCCTCAAGACTGAATTTGAACAATGAGTAGCTGCCTTCTCTATGAAACCCAGAGGCACCACTCTACACCTATGCTCATCTCTTTGTTCGCGATCATTTTTATGGTGCTCCAAGTATTTCCCTATCCACAAATAAGTAGATTTTTGTCCTTTTTCTCGTCTCTTTTTTCAGTGAAGTTTCTGTAGAGAATTTTCGTCTAAATAAGTTTCATCGCGATCAAAGGAAAATAAACTGCTATTTGCCTCAAAATACAGGAGTTGTTTTCCTCAAAATGTGTCGTTGTAAAATAGGAAAACGGAGATCGGCTGTTATCATATTTATTTGTCTAACTTCTCATTTTATTCCCAATTTTCTATTTATTTTCTTCTTGTATTCAGAGCATAATTTACTAATAAAAATAAAAGACAAATTCTGGAACACTAGCTGCGAAGTATGTTCTCTAACTTATCCTGTAAGCTAGAATGCGTAGTCAACATCCTGCAAATTAAATGTAAATTAAAAAATCTAGAGACCACCTGAAAATTGATTGGGTTGTATGATGTTCGAATTTCAAGATGGACAACCTATTTTATGCGGTTCAAGTGAACTTGATAGTTGTCAATATTGGTTGCTGTTATTTTCAGTAATTATTGTAAACTCAAATCTTTTGATGAATGGGGTAAAAAATTTCTATTGTTTCTGGTTTCAAGCTTTCTGTCTCCATGTAACGAAATAAAAAATTTTCTTTAGCTTTTTCGATCTCCAGAACCAATTTTATTTCTTTTTCAAGTAATTTTTGATACTAGATTACAGGAAAGGTAGATTGTAAGGCTTCAAATTCACTTCATTACATTTGTACTGATGCCGTATTATTATATTTTTGTAGTCAGTTCTCATTTTTTGCATGTCTGTCCCTTCCAGAAGGACTGCATATCTGATTATTTAACGCTGAAGAGCCTGCTAGTCATTGTTATTTGTAGCTTTAGTTTTATTATAACATTTAACGTTATTTATTTATTTTTCACAAAGGAGAATTTATTATAGTTATCAAGTGAACACTTATGTGTGAGACACTGACTGATGACTTACACCAAAAAGTTTTCTACACATAAGCATATTATACTGAGGTTGCCTTCGACAAATATTACAGGTCCCCCAAAAGCGATGTTAAACCTGTGCCCTTTAATTGTGAAGACTTCTATAGGTTAGTCTGGCTTAGTGATCATGCTAGTCAGAAGAAGTCTATGGAAGCTTAACCCTGAAGAGTATTAAGTTAGATTGTTAAGTGTATACTATTTTCTGTGCAATCTTCTATTTTACTTTGAAGAAAGCATATTCAGGATCATAATTGTCTATTTGATCTGCTCTTTGACTCTGTTATTGTAATGTTTCGGTTACATCTGTGTTTTTTGCAACACCAGCAGGTAACTTAAATTTAGATCAATTGTAAACGCTGACTGTTTTTTCTTTTTTTTTATTGAACAGTCAGGTATCTGATTTTGTCATGGAGATTAATGCAACAAGCTCGTACGTAATTTTACAATATCGTTGCATTGGCTCTTTATAATTTTTAGTATTTATTTTCTGCATATATTTTTTATTATTAGTGCTGATGACTCAGCACCAAGCTTCTTTCATTGTTGTAATAGCATTTCACACATTATGTCACTTTCTACAGCCTCATTCAATTTATTTTAGTCTACTAGTAGACTAAATAGAGAAACTAGGCTAAAGGGGTGTAGTAGACTAATCATTGAAAGTATGCCTTTGTTGATAGAACAGGTACTGTGCAGGAAATGAATTATGATGTTGATTGTTAATTCTTCGAGATTTTTGTCCTGATTTTATAATCAGGTATTCTACTTAGATTGGTGGGTCCCTCAGTGATAGGACTAAAAGAGAAATGATCAACTAAAGGAAGTAATAATAAAATATCGGAACAAAAAGATAAGGATGACAGACGTGTATTGGTATAGATTACATGGTTTTTGAATCAGGGTTTATGCCTGGGACGTGCAATAGTCCCCATGCCACTGACAGCACTGCTGACTTAGTATACAACACGAGGTTTAGATCACTGGGATTTGTCAAAAAAATTGTATGCATAATGTTTTGTTAACACCAATAAAACCGCTGTTGGGAACAGCTGACGTTGTCCAATCTGCTACAGCTCTCATTTTGTGCAGTTTTATAGCAAAGTGAGTCGTACAGTCAATAAAAAAAATACACATGGCAACAGGTCAGCTTTGCCAACAGTGAACGCTTTGATCGTCATCTGTAAGGGTCCGTCAATTGTCCTTCTTTCATATCTAAAGTTTTTTAGTGCATGGGCAAAAGCAGGTAGGCAAGTGGGCTTGGAACAGAAATAGTATTTAATGATATTAATTGACAAGCAGGATAATTTCCTTTGTATATTTACATTTTTTTCTCTTGTAAACCAATTTGCTTATGTTAGAAAATTTTCCAAGTGTTTTTTATTTTGAATTCAACAAACTTGATCTAAAAAGACTTTTTTGTTTACCGAAACATATTTTTAATGTAGTCTTAAAATGCTCAAAAATCTTAAAAACCATCAAGGAATGCTCTACGTTTTCTTGAAGTAACAGTTAATGATTTCTCTTCTATTTCTCCAAAGAAAGCGCAAATTATCAATCCTGTGTATTAATGCAAAAGTTAGTACAAACCAGTGCCTTTCTATGTGTTTCAGAAAATTTTACGTTCCAAGGAGTAAAATCATATTCTCCAAGTGAGCATATCTAATACTTCTCTGCACTTATGGGAGGAGGGGGAAGTTTCTGAAGTTCAAAATTTTTCTACTCTTTTCTTTCCACTAAAAATATGGTTAAATACTCAGAAAAATCTCCGCATGTGACCAGATCTGTGAGAAGGGACCTTATCTTCTTGGAGAAAATTTTCCTCAACCTTTCATAAAAACTTGAACTCATTTTTTTACAACCTAAGAATTTGTGTCATGGAACTGCAGCTCTCATATTTCCTCCAATTTTTGAGGTTTCAGAGTCCAACTTATGTCAAAATTTCCAAATTTTTTGCCTTTATGCTTTAAAAAAACTATGGAAAACTTTCCTCCGAAAGCTAAAATCCCTTTTCACAAATCTGCTTTTGTACGTTGCTGTATGAAACAAGAATGCTGTTACTCCATTCTAGGTTTTCAATTTCTTCTTCAGCAAAATGTTATATTGAAAAAGCTAAGATGCAAAAATTAGCCATTATAAATACCTTCTTTGATTCTGTACGCATTCAAAATATCTGTGTCATGCACTTCAACTATCAGGAACTTGCACTAAAAAATGAGGCACAAAAATAAAACTTCTGGTATTTTTTTGAGAGAGTATCTTGTTTGAGACAAAATTTCATAACTGGAATGGTGTCATAGCATTCTTCTTTCTGTTGGCAGCATACCACGAGGTTTTTCTCATGATTAGGTTCTTTGCTTTTCATGTATTGCTTGCATTTATTCCAAACAGTTAGAGAGATTTTCTGCAAATTTAAACTTAAGCTAAGATGTTCAAATTTTCTTGTTTGCGTACAGTTTGTAGGACTGAATTTTTTGAAGGTTTAGCATTTCTCAATCTTTCATGATGATTATCTTTAAACCATGAAACAATTAATTCATAGGAATTATGTACATAGGCTTTTAAGCACATACTCTCACTTGATTAAGAATTTTTTTTTGCCCACAATATTGTTTTTTTTTTATTCTTCTTTATCTATGTACTGCTATTATTATTATCTCTTAACTTTGCAAATATGTTTTTTTGCGTCTACCTGCATTTATTGGTGCTTCATATTTCTCTTCAATGGTTTTAAAACAAGCATCCCCCCCCCTCCCCACGATTTCTTTCATTTATTTTTTATCAAAACACTTTTGCTAAATAAGACGTAGCTCCTGCTTGCATGTGTGCATATACGCACGTACAGAAACCTAGTCAAGTAGGTCCTTCTTTTTCAAATGATAAAATTTACTCCATTTATTTTTTATCTTCTTCACAATATTTTCGCCTTGCTCTGTTCCTTTTCATGTTTTTTTTGGAAATATGTTGGAACTAAGGTTTCCTAGTTAAAGATCATTATTTTGAATAATAATTTTGTAAAGAAGATGTAATTAAAAAGATATTACTTCAGCTAAAAACGAGGAAACAAAGCAAGAAAGCTGATAATTCCAAATTTTGATAGAGAAAATGAACATTTCGTACCCTCGAGTTCGTAGGAAATGGACCCCCTAAAGATTTTCTTCCCTTTTGAATGCCCCTGTCCATCTTCCAACTTGTCTACAATCAGAATGCACTGATTAGCATAGAAGGAAAACTCCAAAAACATAATCTACCATCACGGCCTTCGAATGCCAAGACAGTTCTCCACTAATTCTGTTTCCTCAAGTTCTAGAATACACAGTCTCTCACGAAACCAACTCCTCCGCACATAATAACTATCCTGTAACCTTTTTAAGTCAGTAGATAAATTTGTATATAAGAACCATTTCTTTGGTATATATTTTTCTAAAGCCTCAATTTTGAAGCTGAATTTGTGCGTTTCATCTTTTTTCCTATCTTTCCTCTAACTTTAAACTCAGTGCCTTGACTTTTAAGGTGTTTCTTTATCTATTATCTGTATGTAAAATACCTTTTGTAAACTTTCCGACTGGAAAGAATGTGTATCAACAGTAATAATGTGTTGTAAATACAAATATTTTTACCAAAAGGCAGTCGCTACAAGAAGTATGTGCAAAGTAATGATATATTCGCATTACCTCCAGAATTAATGAAGGTGAATCAAATTGGTGAAAAAAGACTATCTGTGTACTCTCATCTCTGTAGGGAGTCTTAGATTTTTAAATTTAGTCCACTGGTTCACAAGCAACATGATTTTCCTTAAGTATCCTGCGCTTACATGTAAATGTAAATTCTTAATTTTGTGTGCAACGAGATACAACATTTTAGGATACATGCAAAAACAAATATCTCACCTAAAAACTGATTGCCTAGATTTCAAACAAGATTTTTAAAGATTAAAATCCAGTGCTCTAATGAATGATAGCTCTCCTTATCAATTCAATTGATTTATGCTGAATTTTAAGATGAGAACCGCTGTGCTCAAGATTTTAGCTCTGCCGTGGCAAGGAGAGGAAGCAGAAAAAATTATTTTTTTGAAAACAAATGACCAGACTTAAAAAATTGAAGCTCCAATAAATTGAGTGTATTAGCCATTTATACCAATATGAGACGCCTTTAGCATTTCTGGAGGTTATACAAATGTGTAATAAGTACTTACTTTACAAATACCCCCTGTAAACTATCTGCTTTAAAATATTATTCTGTAAGTAAACAAGTATGTTATACGACCATCCTCTTACGATTTCTATTTTCTTCATTGTCAGCATTTTTATCTCAAATACTGAGTTTTTTCAGCCTCATTGTGTGTTAAGAATTGATCATGAAAAATTTTGCAGCTCAATTTAACATAAACTTCAATTTGTACCTTGCTATACGGTATCCATTTTGATATATCTTTTTTACGTAAATACTGCTGTCTCCTAACTACTCGGGTTTTCATTGTTGTTTTCCTACATTCTAAAGGAAATGTACAAATGAAAGTTCCATTTGCTGCTCTTACCAGCCAAATAGTCGATTTTTAGTAAAATTTCTGCATTTTTTTTTCTTTCTTTCTTGCAAGCAGGGTTCTTTATGAACTTTTACAAGTGCTTCCTTCCCACAGTCATCCTGAGTGTGAACCAAGTTTGATTAAACTAAGTTCCTATCACTTAAAGTAATACAAAGCTCACAAAATAGCTCCTTATGTAATCAAGGGACTATCTATCTTCAAGTCTCAATGTATCCTCTAACTGAAAACTTGGATTCATAACTTAACCGCTCATATCCCTATTTTTCTAACGTGTACAATATTGATCCTTTTGCGTTCAAACCAGCTTTATCTTTCTACTGTAATATTTACTGGCAAATCTCTGTGCTCTTTATTCGCAAAAGTCTCCTATTTTGCTGAACGAATGTCTTAATGCCTGTGTTTGTTCACTTGTGAATCATATGATAGCGGAGGTCAAAATCAATCAGCTCTTTCTACTCAGTCTTCATCTATTTCTGTGTGATCAATACAATATTTTTCTAGTTTTCTCAGCCAAGTATTTGTATAAACAGTAAGTTCACTGATGTCCAAGAGTTTATTTTATTGGTCGTACAAATAGTTTTATTTTTATTTTTTAAAGTTTTGAGTCTGAGACGAACATTCATTCTTTGAATACAGCGTTTGTATTTTTCATGTATCTAAGTATTTTATTTTGTGTTAAATGTCGTTCTGATATTAAATCATTAGGTATAATAAAAACTTATACCTTTCCAAATGAAAGCCTTTTTTTCTAAATTTTTCTCACCTTGATCTCTCACATCTCAAATTTTAAAAAAGCTGAACAAGCCATTCTTTTAAATTGAAATGCTCTTCCTATAAAATTCTGATCAAAGAAATATTTAATTTGCACTCAATAGTGCCCTTGTCACTAAAAAAAGATACTTCAAGAATTAATTAAATGGAAAGGAGAAGTGTTTCATTATCAGTTATGAGTGGAAAAAAACGTAGCATCTTTCTAGTTTGATGCAGGAAAATTTAATTTCATGTAGCTATCAGGAATAAAAAGGATTTTAAATACCTATACAATTTTTTGACATTATTACTGATCAAGCACTGTTTATGGAAGTTAATGACTGAAGATATTGGGATGAATCTGCCAAAACAGTTAAAATTAAAAATCATTATCATCTTTGAGTTGCTTTAATTATGAATAGTATGAACCTAAAATACTTAACTGATTTCTAATTTCACCCAAGTTTTGAACATAACTCGGTGAAGTTTTTATTTTAATCTGCATCTGAGGTGATGCATTAGAAGTCTGTGGGAAGTCGCAGCCATTTGCTATATCTTTGAAATATGCAGTCATGTCACACTGGCAAGGAAAAGCACAGTTCCGATTGGTATATTCAGGGAAAACTGACTTTAACTCTGAAATTTTCGTTTATACTCCTATTTTCAAAATTACCTGTAAAGACGTTAATAGCCTGAGTCGCTGAATGTCTCAAAATTATAATAACTAACTAACGAACTGAACCAATCACATGTCATAGAATGGACTGGTCCTATTACTATTTTATTCTTTGCTCATCAATCATAAATAATTCAGTCTTTTTAAACATCCTTGCATCCCTAATTTTCTGTGCTCCTCGGCAGGACGGCCCAACGGCAGGGCAGTACATGTACAAACAACATACATCTTGCGTCAGATGCAAAGTAAATTGCATACCCTCGATTTCTGAAGGTGCTGCTTCTGCCTGGTTTGCCACTACTTGTCATTCCCCTTCCACTCCCATGATTTTAATTTGAGGTTAGGTATGGTTTCCTTGTTTGATGTGTTTTGTTTACATAACAAGATATTTTTAATGTTTTTCACCCAAGACTCAACTCTTACTCACGTGTTTCAAGAAATTATCATTTCGTGAATTTTTACACTCCAAATAATACAGTGCACCTTGTTACATGCAATTTAACTTCGAAGAAGATGGGTGAGAACATTTTTTTTAAACAAACCCTATGATATTTCACACATGAAAGCACCTTGGCTTCATCGACTTGCAATCAAAGATAAATTATGAAGAGTCGATGAATGTGAAAGATCAAAAGATTGTACAGCTGTAAAGAGGTTAATCTTTGTTGATTATAGGATCACAGAAAGGATCCCTCTATATTTAGTGAATGCACGCAGTAAACCGGAAAGATCCCACAATCCAACTTCTTGTGATTTGAATGACCCTTGAAGGTTTCAATGAATTTTAAAATCAAAATCACAAAACGAAGCTTGGGTTCTAGAGGAGGAATTTAGATTCTCATGATCACAATCTAATCAGTTCTTGTAGGTTTCTAATTATATCGTCTTTGTATGTAAAATACATGCCCCATCATATAATTCTTTTTTCCTTCAAATGGGCAAAGTACCAAGATCAATAATTTTAAAATCAAACCCTACCTACAGTGTGATTTTATGTTATGATCGTTAATAACCATTTTTATTTTTGCAGGATCAAAATGAAACCCGCAGATTTTTCCCATCTTTTTTTCCTCATATTCTTCATAAATATTTCTGCAGTCCCATCCATGCGGAGTTCCCTCTGTTCCAATGCTGTCCACTTGTCTTTGTATAAATTTGAACGTGTCGGAATAATTGAAGTACCACTGAACAAAAGTAAAAATTCTTTGAAGTTAAATGTCAAGTTAGTTGCACGGGGCACTCTACCAACAGTAAGTATGATTTGTCCCTTAATATACATGTCCATCAGGTCTAACATAGGTTCAATGAGGGTTAATTTTCCCCAGAATATTGGGGATCAATCACTATAGGTACTTGCCCCTTTCTGGTCTGCGGCCATTTTGCCACAGCCGCCGTAGCAGGTCTGCGAGTCTTTGCTGAAAATCGTCCAATACTACTTCTCAAAGACTCCTCCTGTGTGTGGCATTATATTTTTGCCGCCATACGTGTTGGAAATATCCGACAACGGACCCACACATACTTAAGCTCAAACTTTTTGACTACTATCCGATATTGGACCTAAATGGGTTTTTTGCAATTTTGGTTTTATCCGACTTCAGACCGCTAAGGGTCAAAAAGTAAGTAGTTTATCAGTGAAACTGCAGGAATGTCTACTTCGGTTTGCGACATCTTAGACTTCCTGTTATAGTTTATCTTTTTAAATGGAAAAATACTCAATGTCATTACTTGAAATCTCCCCTAATTTTTCCTCCGGGTGAGGAGATGAATCTTTGGAAATTTCAAATAATGGTGTTGGTATGATAAGATGAAATAAAATGAAATCGGAGTTTCTTAAACACTGCAGAAAAAGTACGCGCTCATGCAGTCTTACCTCACTGTCAAGGTTTTCTTTACTGTCATTCAGCATTATTACTCCAGTTTTCTCTATATGTCAAAGTATATCAGGTTATCCTCATTTTAGCTTCTGATTCATTAGCTCATTTTATTTTCTACCAGAAAATCAAGGAACAATGTCCTTAATCTTGATCCTTTAAAATTCATGTTCTTCTAATAAAAATAGACTTTTTTAGCATCAAGTTTTTATCTGAAACATGGTCCTCTTTTGCACATCCAGTTCCAGTTATGATACTTCCAAATGAGCTCTTCTGCGTTAAACTTCAAGACTTGTGTTGATCATCATTGTACGTTACTTGTGATGTTAGTGTTATCATTATTATTTTTTTTCCAGAGATATGTTGGTTTGATAGAACTTGCAGACCCTGAGAAACTGAAAAAGACTGAAGTGAATGAAAGTGAATTACAGAGAGTCAAGTTCAGGATACGATTTCCCATCAACAAACCACTTCCATTCATCAAAAGTATTTTGGTAGATGATGAAATGCTATGCAGTGGAAATGTGAATATATTTTCCTGTGAGTACTTGGCTATCCATCTCCTGCCAACTTTCCAACAGATCTAAGATCATGATCCCTTCTTCTTTGCTCAAAAATACAAATGAGGGGTTTGAAGGACAAGGCGCATAAGTGCAGTTTTTGAAAAAATTGAGATATTAATGATTTCAAGTAAAACAAGTCTTACTGTATATTCTGTGAAAAAATTCGCCCCCAAATTCCAATTTTTAAGCATCAAAAAGTCAGTTTAAACTTTTTCCGCTATAAGGATCCATGTAATTTTGAAACTTCAAACACGATTTCTTGAAATAGTAAAAACTGCACTATACGCCTTGTCCTCCAAGCCCCTCAAATTTTCTTAGGGCATCACTATCCTTCTTTCAAATGATTCTCTTGCCATGTGTGAACTTTTAACTATTTTCATATAGTTTTGATGAATTGGATTCCATCAAAGAGTCCATAAATTTTGCATTGTTCACTTTTGGATTTTTTCTGTATAATTCAACAGATAGTGTATAAGCCAATAGATGCTTTCCACCAAATATGGTTCAGGCTCATTGCTTTCACAATTTTCTTGACTCATTGTATTTTTTTACGTCTAGCCATTCGGTGGTAGTCAGTTTGCACTGAGTATGTTTGACTGGATTGTGATTAAATTGTCAATACTCAACCATGAGAAATGCAAGTGTGTGTGCGATACACGAATTTGGAACTGGAACAGCAACTTAGTTAACTTTAATCGAATCCAATGCATGCATGGCTGTGCTTCAAAATTGCACTTTAGGCAACATCTGCTGTTGTCTATGCTACCCACAAGTGGCTCAGACGGCCTAGACGGCCTCTGAGACCACTTGCGATACAGGAAGTGATACCATTGCAGTTACCAGTTAAGAGGAATGATGAAGAGCATGGTTCACCAGTCTCCTTCAATCTTTTAATTCGTCTAGGAGAAAGAGGCCTGCTCAGAAACAGGTGTAAATTGGGGCCACTAATGATACTACCGCATTCTTCAACACAAATAATAAAGTTATTTTTAAGTAGTGAATTATGTTTGAATTTTTTTTTTAAACAGATTTTGGTCCGGTTGTAACTCAAATATCTTTGCAATATATTTTGCAATATCCTTTGCAATCGCAAAATGATGCCTCGAATTTGCAATCAAGCAGTTTTACTGAGACCAGCGGAGACCACCATAATAAATCCCTGATTGCAGGTAAGTTCTATTTTTTAGAGGAATCAGAGCAAATTCCACCACTCCTTTCAATGTACTTAATTTAGTGAGACAGAAAATTCCCTAAATTGTTCTTCGGGTCTTGAAAATATTTGCCAGGAAATCATCCTCTCATCTTCAATTTTTATCAGATACTATACTAGGGCCCACGAACGATGATCCCTGAAAAATCGGGCGAATACACGCATGGACCATGTAAATGACAACGCTGCAAGGTCGAGCACGCACATCGACGAGACCGGGTATTGTGAACGCGAAAAGCTATTGTATGCGAACTGCTGCTATTCTACCCCTATCTTCAGGTCAAAATTCTTCATAGGAAGCCCTTTCGTAAAAGATCAATTTCTTGTAATTTTGCCCCAATCTCTTCGTCCATTACATGGTTGGATTGCTCGTAAAATTCTGAGCTAAATCATATCTAATTGTTATATACAATTTTTATTTTTTCTTTATTTTTCCTTTTTGAAGCGAAGTCCAATTTTTATCTATAACATCCTATCTCGAACTGTAACTTTGCTGCTATTTGACCGATTTTTATAAACGAGGCCTCTTTTTACTTGTATTTTAAAGGAGAGTAACGAAACACTTGCAAAAAAATGTTACACAACTTTCAACAAATTTTGGTTTTTTCTAGCGGGAGGGTGAAATTGGAAATTACGCGTAAGTAATTAGGGTTCGATTGTGGCTCGGCTCGGCATTGTCCCCGAACTTGAGACTCGGTCTGGGCCGGGGTGTCGCTGTTGCCAGTGTTTGCAAGAAATACCCGCGGCTCAGGGATCATCGTTCGTGGGCCCTAGTATAGAGGAGTGGTGAACCTTAAAGTTTCACCTGGGACCATGGTAAGTAGGGTAAAGGACCGCTTATTTTGTGAAGAGCCATTTTTTCTCAGACTGACTCACTTTTTTTCAGTGGAAAAGTGATGATACAGTTACAGTTAGTCAAAACCCTCGGGCAAAATTTGTGATGATTGTCCTATCTCTGAAATAACTTTGGCAATTGTAATTTTTTTTTTTAAAAAAAAAATTTCACAGCTGTTTGCTCCATCGGATGAAATGAAAGGCTGCAAATTATAAACATGTGTAGGCGGAACATTTTTTTTTTTTTTTTGCTGCCTCCCTGAATGTCAATTATTTATTTTATTGTTGAGGAAAATATTGAACGATTGAATTAGGTTCAATCGTAGAAATTGGTGTTCACAGTATGAAACTCAAAAGTAAATTTTAATGCAGCTAAAAGTGTTATATGTTTAAATATTAATAAGTTTAATGCAAATTGTGAATGAAATGCTTTCCTTATAAATAATGTCAAAGAAAAAGGAAAGCATATACAATGGAGATAAACAAAGTTGAAGAAAAGAGAAAAAAGAATGAAGGAAAGAGAAACTGTCAGACTCCTTTTGGCTTAATTCAGTCCATGAAGCTTCATTGCCAGCAATGAAGAAAGAACATGAAATATACAAGCAGTGCCCAGAGCGACTCATTCATTTGAATAAAACTATCTAAGTATAATCTTAAACTGTTCATTACACCAAAATCCTGTTCGAGTGAACTATTGTAATTTGATTTTCATTACTTTTTAGAAAATTGTGGACAGACTAATTCATCCATCAAAGAGATCATGTTTCCAAGGAAAATAAGTGATTGGCCCTGGTTGGCTGGAATATTCGTCAAATCATCGTCTAAAGTATTTTTGTGCAGTGGAACCCTTATTTCAACGCAGCACATTATCATTGGTGAGTCTAATTTGGTATTACTGGAATGATTATCTCTACTATGAAATTTTATATTTTAAGAAGAGGAGGTAAAATTTTCCAATTTTAGAATTAGAGTTTGGACTAATTAGAAGTTAACTCTGTATCTTGCAGCCACTTTTTTGGTGATAAATTGGGTCCCTTATTTTTACTCCGTCAGTCCCACTATCTATCTTACTGGAGTACTCAGAAAGAAAATTTGAAACTGACTTTTGAACACATATTTTCTTTTGATGTGTTTCTTTGATTTTCTTATTTTCTTTTTTCAGCAGCTCATTGTATTTCAAATCATGACAAAGTAGAGGAGTTAAGTGTGTATTTTGGCAACATTCAAGAAAGCACAAGGGCAGGAACCGAACTCTCACTTAGTCGAAATGTGAGTTGACGATAACTGCAAATCCTGCGGATGCTTGTTTCACTGTCAATCTATCTTTCAGTGTAACCTCATCATCTTTGAGTGATGTGTAAGAAATTTTTAATTCTTTCATTTTTAAATCTGGAGCAAATCATTTTCTCCGACAAAAGCCTTCCATCAAATACATTTTTCTTCACAAAACAGGGTCTTTCTCTGTTTTGTGAAGTCATTATTAGGCGGTTAGTGATGACCATCAAAAATAAGAAATATCTACTATTTTAAGGATAGAAGAGTCGCTTGTTGGCGAACCATGGACGTCTTTGGGCGGCCAATGTCCTCATTGGCCGAGCAAGTGTAGCCAATGTTGGATTTGTCATCATTTCACAATGGAAGAGGGTGCCTATCAGTGGCGTGGCGTCCATAGGTTCGCAGTGTTCGCCGAACACCCTAAAATATTTTGAGACAATTGATAAATTATGGCTAACAATGTGGAAAACAATACAGAATAGTAGACCGCAAATAATTATCGGGAGATTTTCTTCCGACGGCGATATGCGGCGTGGCGGAGAGAAAGAATCCTGAGACGCGGGGTCCGCGAGGGGCCACCGATCCTGGATGAGAGTGAGAGGGGAACGGGCGGGGCGAGCTGCCCACTTCGGTGAGAAGAGAGAACCTCGGTGCAATGATGAAGAAGGGTCGGTAGACGAGAGAGCGGGAGGCACTGGCGCGGAGGACAGAGCGGAGCGGGAGCATTGAGTTCGGCCGACAAGTGCGGACCGCGCTCGCGAAGTGAACATAGCAGAGAGAAAAGGGAACAGGGAGAGAACGAGAGACGAGAGTCGCTCATCAGTCCAGCTGTTTCCTTTACCAGTGGTCCGCAGGTCCCTGCGAACGGCCGAATTTCCCCTCTGCCAATTCGTCCTACGCTTCTCCTCTTCGCTTGCGGGCAGCGCGCGGGCCGCATCTCTCAGTTCCACATTCCTCAGCAAGGTAGATTCCTCAGTCTCAGTCTCCCACTTATTCTCGCAGGTGCGTGTTGTGCAATTCAACGTGATCTTCTCCCCTTTCAAGAAGCTGGAATTATGGTTTCAGAAGAATACTGAATAAATAATAAATACTTTTTGAAAATTTTAATTATAATAAAAACTTTTTCACCAATTTTTTTTCATTCATTTAATCAAAAAATAAATCAAATATTCCTTATAAAAATAAAAAAAGCTATAAAAAAATTTATAAAATAAAACAAAAATGAAAAAAAAAACAAAAAAAAAAAAAGGAAAAAAAAAAAAAACAAGCGGGAAAGTTTTAATACTGTCGTATTCGAGAAGTGCTCGGCTTTTTTCTGTGTCGTTTTTCGGCGCGTTTTTAAGTTTCCTATGCAGGAGATGAGCACCGTCGAGGTGAAAGAACTCTCTCGCCAAAATTACAACTATAAATTTGGGGGAAACTAAAATTCACTAAAATAAATAAATTACAGGAAAACGATCAGTGAAAAAAAAAAAATAAAATAAAACGTCAATTTATTGCCACAATTTTCACCAAAAAGGATGAAAATTGTGTTCCACCAGAAAGGATGAAAATTGTGTTCTTGCGGCTTCATTTTTTAAAAAATTTTCCGGGGGAGGCCCCCCGGACCCCCCTTTCCAGGAGGGGGGGTAAACCCCCCCTGACCCCCCCTTAGGTGGTTGACACTCCTACCGAACACCTATCGGATAAAGTCACGCCACGCCACTGGTGCCTATCAGAAAAAGGGCTCATAGGACAAGGAAGAATTTGTCTCTCCGATCTGTCTTATCTGAACAAACAGGCAGCTGTAGTTGCAGCTACGCTGTCGTTTGTCCAGATGATTGCTGCCTGGCAAAACGAGCACATGTAGGCTATTATGGGCTCCTATTCTGAAACACTTCTCAATTGCATGTAAAAGAGTCGGGTGTTTTAGTTGTAATAATTCAGTTGAAACAGTGGACCTATACCCCAATTCGACTTGAGACTGCAGTCTTTTAAAATGTAAACATATATTGGTTGTCACCTAGTAGGTACTGTTGTCACGGCCTGGCCATTGTCAATCACCTGAGAAAAATGTAAACATTGAAAGCCTTTTTGGCCAATTACATCAGTGGCTAACCATTTACGTTGAAACCTTATAACCCAGGCATTGGAATCTTTTGCAATACCTTTTACTGAAAAATTAATATCAGAAATGACCGTGTTGATGCAATGTCATTAATATTTGTTCTTTTTTTTTTTAATACAGGTTTCTAAACTGCACATCAATCCGTTTTATAAGAAAGACCCTTTTGATACAAATGTGGCAATCCTGGAGCTTTCAGAGCAAGTAAAACCTAATGGAAAAATTAAGCCAGCTTGTTTGTGGCAACAAGCTCCTAATAATTCACCCTCCATATTAGAAGCAGTTGGCATAGTAAGTCGTCAGAACAATATTTTCTCCTATAAAACATGGTCACCCATTTGTTTTCTTTTTTTATGTCTGATTGAAGAAAGAATAAATGGTTTAAAATGGGGTAAAAATCTAAAAAGAAATCAATTCCTGGATTGATTCAGTCTAGAATTTTGTTTATGTCTCAACAGATAAGAAACTTTTTCCTCTTGAATTTTGTTGGACTTACAGCTGCTCTCCAGAGCAATAAAGAAAAAAAAATAGGTAAGTAAATTGTCAAGAAAGAAGAGGAAAAAGAATGCCTTACTTTTACTGTGTAAGCATTTCAATGTTTGTATATGTACTAAATTAATTAGACTTTTTCTGGTTGGTAAAAGTAAATGACAGCCTCAGAATTTATCTTTGACTCTTATTTCTTCCGCTCAGATGTTTATACATTAATTATAACTTCATTTTTAACTTATCAGGTAGCGTTATGGATTGTTGATTTTGATGGGTCCCTTCTACCAACTAATCCTAGTTTCATTGAAGTCCGTATCAAAGATCCCCATGTGTGCAGACTTGATGATGAAAGCTGGTCTTATACATTGTGTACTGTTGCTCTTGCAGGTAAATATTAAGTCTTGTTGATACTGCATGTTAGAAATTTCTCGTTAATTTTGTAACATGATCAGCTGATGGCCTAGACAGACAATCAAACTTGAACAATTCTAGAGCAAAATCAGACAAAGTTTACCGGAAGAAATTACCTTTTTTGCATTATTTCAGAACAAATAATCTATTAGGTATTATAATTTTCTTGCGCTTGAAAGTGCTCTTATAAAAGTGCCTATGCACTTGGTTCCTCTCTGCAAAACTAGATCCAACTATGGTCTTTGCAGATGAACGACCTTAAAGTTAACCCTGAGTAAAATCAAAAGAACAGATGGAAAATAGAGAGTGAAGATGTAGGCTTCACCAAATGTTTATTATCTCTAATATATTCTCTCTCTAATATTATCTCTAAAGTGAAAACAGGTATGAATTTTTTCCTATTTTATAGCTAGAGAGAATTCAAAAGACTCACACACGAGAAACACAAGAATCACAAATGCGAAATTTATGACCATGCAATTATGCATATCATCATATCATTGCTCCTCTGATTTCAGAGCGTGTCTCTACTTTGATATGGATCAAAAAAGTATGGAGCTTCACTGTTGACAGAGTTCACCTTGAAATGTAATTAATACGCCCTTACATCTGAGAAGCAATGATGTGTACTGTTTTGTGGGAAAAATAAACATTTAGTCATTGAGTCTGCAGTATTTGAATAGAGACTTGCCGATTTTTCTCAAATTTACGATATTATAAAATATGTAGCCATTTACTAAAACAAAGTGTGTGTTTCACTTCTTTTGTAGAACTTAATTGGTGCCCTGGTGTGTATGGTGGTGAACTGCTGATTCGTCAAGAAGATTCCCATGGTGCTAAATGGAGGGTCAGAGGAGTTATCGAATTTCCGTTCGATTATAAGAGCTGTGTCTCCTCAAAGCAATTGCTATTTACTGATGTTGGAATGCACTCTGATTGGCTTGGACAGATTCTAAGTCTAAGAACTTAGTTTAGACTGCTGAGCTCATACAACAGGAACGTACATTTGGAGGATCGTTTGGATTCACCACAAGTCTAATTAATATTAATTTGGAGAAGTTACAACCTCTCAAGATCACCATCGAAGGGAAAAATAACTATTTAACATTTTAATAATATTTTTATTGGAAAAATAACTGTTCCATAAATGATCTCATAATTTTTTACAAATGGTTTGAAATATGTCTTGAAAAAAAGTTTATTCTAATTTTACCATTGTAGATTGCTATTTTCACGTATCTTTTCTCATGTAAATGAAACTGAAATACAACATTATAATTTTACAAGCTTTGTGTTTAATTTGTGCTTCATTGGCTTGAAATGGCAACGCAAATAGCATTGACAAATGAAAGATTCTGTTCTTCCAAATATTCAACTAACTTTATTGCTCACCATTTCTATTATTCTCGAGACCAGTTCGAATTTTGGATTACTCATCTGTTCAATTATGTCAAAGTGATCTACATTCTTGATCTCCAGTAAAGTTATATTTTCAGATTTTTTGACCATGAGCTGCAACAAAAATTGCAAACATTTAAAAGAGAAAAAGTGATCAGAGAGGTAAGACATGAAAACATTAAATGAATTAAAATTATAATGATCCAGCTCATCTGAGATAGCCGACTACTTGTATAGGTGATCTCCAAAACGAAAAGTTGCGTCTGAGGAGCCAAGTCAGGTGAGCAGCTCAATCTAGTGTTGAAGGGTTGATTGACTTCGGCAAGCCCAGGTCCTTTGAATGTGCCAGACCCTGTTTTTCAAACGCGTTTCACATACAGAAGGCACATGAATAGGTAATTAAAAGGGTATCTACGACTCTCACATATTTCCATAAGTAAATTAAATGAGGAGATTAAGTTTTCAGACGCCGATATAGTCAATAGCGAGTGATTGCCACACGAATATAGCCTCCATATTATTTATGTATTTATTAATAATACACCCTTTTTTTTCTTTTTCTTTTCTTTTTTTTTTCTCGCAATTTGATTACTTAAGAAGTCAAACCGCCCTCTTGTGCTACGATTTTGTTATCACAAGCGGGAAGAATCGAAGGAACCCCAGACCCAGTTATTTTCAATAACTGGGTCTGGATACAACTATTCGTGTTCTCGGGATGTCCGTGTTGCATACCAAAAAATTGCAGGCGCTCTGGTTTTCTGCAGCTCAACGCATGCCGCGGTCGTTAGTTCTCAAGGGTTTCTTATTGTGTCGCATTGACGAACGTGTTTACCATGAAATCCCTGAAATTCGGATGCGTCGCGTAGCGCCATGGCAACGTTGCAAAATCCTCGAGATACCGAACAACCGCGGTCATAACTTCATAAGTTGTGCTGAAGAAATCAAGAGCGCCTGCAATTTTTTTGTATGCAACACAGATATCCCGGGGACAAGAATAGTTCTATCGAGACCAATCGAGACTCATCCATAAGCCAGAGTGCCTGCAATTTTTTCGCTTGTGATCAAATTTCCACTCAGTCCAGTTGTCCCTTTTTCCCCGACGTAAAACAGTTAGGTATGGTAAAATATGTAGTAAAATAGAAAATTGCGCACCTCAAAATATGCCATTGATTGCTGTTTAAAGGCAGGTGAATCAAACTCAGCTGTTATGATTAAGATTTTTACTCGCTTATCACAAAATCCTCGGCTCACAGGGCTGATGTCTTGTGCTTTCTCTCTGAAAATATAAGAATTACGAATGATTAGGAGGATGTGCTCACCGGCAAGTTATGTACGGAAAAGATGTGAAATTGTAGTCTAATAAGTTTGAAATTAGGTACCTGTCTAGGCGTAAGGCATCATTGTATGACGTGTCTAACAGAGGGTCTAAATTATAAAGACCACAAACCAGAATCACTCCTTGAAACAGTAAATTCTCTACAACCGGTTTGTAATGTAACAAAAGGGATGCCAAATGTGCACCAGCCGAGTGTCCGCAAACCCACACGCCCCTGCAAAAAGAAAAAAGAAAAACCACATTTTTGTGACACTTAATATTAAAATTTCTTCAGCCCCTTCATTTTTGAGAAAGGTCAGGGAGAGGTAAAAAAAAAAAAAAAAAAAAAAAAAAAAAAACTGAGTGACGAGAAAAAAAAAAAAAGTTTCCCTTTTTTTTCTTTTAAAAAATGTTCGGAGGAAGCCAATAATTTTTGCGTTTGGTCGTTTATTTGCGCTTATTTTTGTCAGAAAAAATTGAGGGAAGAAAAAAATATAAAATAGATACCTGCGTAATTTTTTGAACACTGGCGTAAAATTTTTGAGTTACGCGTTTCTACATCTCTTTAGGTGGCATGACCATGGTGCCACGGTGGCCATGCTGGCATGTCCATCTAGGCATGTGACCGGAAGAACCCATAGTCCTATTTTTTAGGGTTCCACATTAAACCCTAAAGTGATCTCAGGAGCAACATATTTGAAGCGATAATTGAGGTGATCCCTAATTCAACCATGAATACTTAGAAGTTGACTATACACCTGGATCCACTTTCAGCAGCTTTTTGGAGGAGGAAAGAGCCCAGTTGTTGGATTTGCGATTCCATCTGCGCCAGCGTCACAGTTGGCGCAAGATCATACCCGGCAACAACGACCTGAAACCCTGCGTCAGCAAACCCTGCTGCAACTGAACGATACTGGGTCCTATCCATCATTTGCCACATTCCTCCATGAATGAAAGCTAAAATGGAGGCACCTAAAGAAATGGAAAATAAAGAAGTTAAAAACAAACTAAAGAAAACAAAAATTAAAATGTCATTCACATAGTATTAATGATGAAAGTTGCAAAAGCAAAACATGTACTTCAATTTGTGAGGTTGCAAATTTCTGATCTTGTTTTATTTATTTTTTTAAAAAAAAAAAAAAAAAAAAACAGACCAACGAGAACTACTCCTAACCACCGGAAGCATAGCGGTTTGAATTTTGCGATTAAAAGATTGAAGTCTACAGGAAAGGCTTTTTAAAATCCTAGCCTACCATTTCAAGGCATGGAATGGCCGAAAACATTCCCCTCTCTTCTTGCACAGAATGATTCAACCGCGCTCACAACTTATTTCTTAAATAGGTACACAATAACGCATGAGTCGAAATTTTATGATCTGAATTTTCGACTCATTTCAACAGAAAAATCTCTATTGAAAATTTTCTGTAATAAAGGCTCCGTAGACAGTCACATGAAACTTAAGGAGACTAAATTGAAATCAGACGCACTAGTTACTTACGTGGAGAGTTGAATTGTTTATATCGTGGCGTGGCGCATTAAATGTAATGTAAAACTCATAATAAGCGGAAAACTCATTACAGCGCATTATACCATCCGAGAATTAATGACATAGCAAATAATGTTAATTGTAATTGTAATAATTATAGGTGTAACTTCATAGGAACAACACCAAATAGGATCACTGGCGAAATCGAGTTTAAAATGTCGTGTGCGCATTGCGCTCTCTTGCCCTCCTCCTCCTCCTCCCCCCCTCTCCCACTGCCGCATTTTTTATGCGTGAACGAAGGTGAGTTACATTAACACAGATAACAGATCCTTCCCTCCGCTCCCCCCTTTAGTGCGTCACTTTTTCCATCTAAGGCTTCCAAGCGAAGGCTGAAGTTACGTATTTTTGGAGACTTGAACGCAGCGCAAAGAAAAACAACCAATTATAAAAAGGTTTCATCTCGCTGCTTTTACCGACTGGATAAATAGAATGGCAGTAAATATGACGAGATCGGAAAAAACGGGGCTTAATGTGAAATGAGGGGCTTGGAGGACAAGGCGCATAAGTGCAGTTTTTGAAAAAATTGAGGTATTAATGATTTCGAGTAAAACTAGTGTAAATGCATCTACTGTGAAAAATTCGGGGGAAATGCAGCTTTGAGGTAATCGAGGACTTCAAAATCATTCCTTATTACCTGCCAGACCTGTTGTTGGGTAAAATATGTCGCACTTTTGTCGGTCGCCCTGGCCATAGGAAACTTCTAGCTCATGCTTTGGGAACAGTTTAAGTACTTTTTCGCTCTCTGAAATAAAAGAGTAGGTACAATAAAATTAACATGAGTCATGAGCTTGTTACAAATAGGAAGAAATTTCACAATGTTATATAGGTACAGGTGCAGAGCCAGTTTAAGAGTGAAAAAAGACGTGGGGGTATTTATCTATCCGAATTAGAGTGGTGAATATGGCATTAGAAGTAGAGCTGCATGCGTGGGATTCCTTTAAAAAGGAATATGCGAATCGATGCTACAGTAACAAGGTGAATAATTTTGAATTGGATTATTGCGCCGAAAAAGTAAAATATGGACCTATACAGTACGTGGATCTACTACAAATAAGACAAATGACAACAAACACAGTACGGAATTAGAGCAAGGAGCAAGGGGAAGGATGCGCTTTGATGGCGGCGCAGAGATACAACTATTCGTGCTTGATAAATGTCCGTGTTGCATCTGCAAAATTGAAGGCGCGGCAGCGCGAGGCGTAAATTCGCAATGCTCTGTCCTATGCTGCTAGAAGTGTCTCTCAGATTCGAAAGAGAAGTTAAAGAGTGAGGAAAATTCCTTGATTGTTCCTCTCAGTTTGCAGAATATTCTGTATGAATTTCAAATCATACGGTTGACATGATTCTCTCCGAAAAAAAACTAGGAGCGGAGATTTTGAAACACCGCAATGGAAGTAATAAGTGCTTTCGCACCTTAGCAATCTATTTGCATTGTCATAATCGGAGATGCGCATTTCTCAGCCTTACAGTTAGTCATCGATACTTTTCTTTAATTTTTTTTTTACAAAGAATCTCCATAACTTTATTCTATTACTTCGAATATTTCAAGGTAAAATACTGGAAGTGCTTTTTTTAATTTTCTGGAAATTAAAAATTGAATCGGGAAATTTTTTTGGCAATATCCTAGTTCTTCTTCAAAATCCTCACCCTGCATGGCAGTTTTATATTTTTCAGCCTTACCTTGAGTTATTATCTGAATATGTTTTGCGATGACCTCCTCTGCAGAGTAACGATGGCTCCACTGGCTCGGCGAATATAACCGCTCCAGCTCACTTTTCCTTTCGTCATCGGTTCCGTTAGATGAGGACATATTAATAAATAAACAACGAAAATTGAGGACACCATGCACTCAATAAGTCGTGTCTGAGAATCACACCGCACACGTTATTCTTATCTTGTATTTTTTGTCTCTATGAAATATAAGATATGAAAAAGGGATCAGTCACGGATGAGGCGCGTCCAGTATCCATGTAGAATCATTTGAACTGCATTTTCAATTCGGAACTACAATTTCTGGCTCATTTGTAGAAACACTTATGTAAATAGAGAAACTAATGGTGTTTACGTCGTTTCTCAACTAAGCCAGACATTTTGGTTCCAAATTGTAAAATTTAATCCATTTTTTCACCGAATATGGAAACGGCATGAAAGTTCCGAGCAATAATACGTTTCTTTTTTCTCTTTTTTGGAATTCAATGAAAAACTAATCACATGTAAATGGGTAATGTTTTCATGCACGGGAACTTATTGATAATTTTAAATGATAATGTAAAACAAATATTGTAGTTTCTGTACAAAGAAGATTAATAAACACTCAAATTAAAATATGAAAAAAGAAGTATTTTCTCTCGGAAATTTTCAAGAGGAACGTGCGCACGGAGTAATATTGAACGAGGCAAGGACTATGTCAACTGAAGCGCGCTCACTAAACTGAGAAGCTACGAGTGGGAGTGAAACGAAACCGAAGACGGAACATGTAAAACCGCCCGCCGCGTGTTGCGTCTCCTCTTTTTTTCATGGTTATGCTCTCCAATTTCATGTGCCGCTCATCAAAGGCTTCCCTCATCCTCTGGAGGGTTTGGATTCGATCGACAGGAATCGAGCGAATAATGAAAACGTGGATCGATCGACATAAATCAATGAAAACCGATTCGATCGACAAAATTCGACCGATTCACATGTTTTTCGATCGATTCACGGTCGTCGATCGAATCACGTCGATTAATTCACGTTTTAGTTTTTCGATCGATTCATGTCGATCGAATCTATACGGATTTTCTAAAATAATTTTTCGATCGAATTGGTGTCCATCGATTCATGTTGATCAGTTGAATCATTTTAGAGACAGCATACACGCCATTGGTTTCTCTTTGCAGATATGTGTTTTTATGAGAGTCAGCTATAGTGCAAAATGCAATCCAAATCTCAGACTGGGATTTTGTTAAGTTGAGTAATTAAATATTACATCTATGAGAATAGGTTTTGAGGGAAGATGCAAGATGCCAGAAATAATGTGGTTTTCAGTAAGATACAACACCAAGGACGATACCAACCGAAAGGTTCACGGTGTCGCTCATCGATTCAATCAAATCTCAGGGAGCGATCTATAAAAGCATTTTTCGAATAGATTCGCGCTCCCTGATAGTTTTTTCGTATACATGGCAAAATTGACTGTTAGACTTAGACTTTCAAAAAATCTGAATGTCCTATAAAATGTAAAAATTGAAAAAAAAAATCTTATCGTTCCTCTTACTGTAAAATGTCTTAAAAAAAGTAAAAAAAAATCGACTTAAAAATGTTGTTCAATTCTATTGATTATGTTAAACACTTGTGTTATACTCGGATTCTTTTGTTAAACTCAGTCACATTGATGCTAAACACAGAATTAAATGTAAATATGCAACATAGAATCAAAATACTTACATTGATAGAGAAAAAAAAGATTGAATTCATGGTTAAATTTATGTTATTCCATTTAATCGCATTACTTAAATATTTGCGTTGCGTTGTGTTACACGAGGCGGCAAATGGGTAACGGGGTTAGGGAGTGGGTGGGTGAGGGGCTTGGGAAGGGGTCGAAGTAGAGAAAGATTGAATGAAGGTACGAAATTCCTGAATGGGCTTAAGTCACGACCGGCGATGATGTTTCTATGCATTTGTCTACTGTTCTACCGCAGCGTTTAAGTCTCCAAACATGCACGTTCAAAAAAGCGCCAGTGCTGAACGATTAAAAGATGGGCATGTTTTTTCATGAAAGTTTTACGTATCACAGTGATTTTAGGTACTACAAAAATGTTCAAATCCCTCGCACAAAGGTGTAATTGGTCGTTTTCTTTGACGTTCAGTTTACAACCCGAACAATCATAGTCCATTTCAGTCAAACAGCGCACTGAAATAATTGTAATTTGTAACGTAACTTTAGGATCAGTTGGCTCTGTCAGTACACATAATTTTTCTCAGGAATAATAAAAATAGATAAGCGTGAAGGTTTTGAGCAGGAAAGCATATTTTTGGGGGATTTTCCCTCCTCTTACTCTCCTCCTTTTCTCGCAACTTTTTGTGACTTTTGGGCAATTTCGCTTTTATGCTCCAACATTAGCCGGTCTCCGGTGTTTCATTTTTGCCTCTTAACTCCCCAAGGATATTTTTGACATTGGTTATCTTGTTATATTCCAGAAACAGCTGTTGTCCGACTGCGAGTTGGGTCCGAAACTTCTAACCATGCATCATTATCTTTACAGGCGTTTTTTTTGAACGTGCATATGTTTGAAGACTTAAACGCTGGAATAGAAAAGTAGATAAATGCATAGAAACATCAACGGTCCGGTTTGCGGACGCAGAATAATTGATGCATGCTGTAAATAAGCGAACGTTAATTGATATTCAGCTAATACAGAGATACAGATTAAATCGCTGAGTTTTTCATAAAAAAAAATAAATAAATAAAATAAAAAAAGACAGTTTTACCATTCCGTGCAGGCATTCGCGACGCCCCTCGCATTGTTCCTTCCTTGTTGGTGTTGCGTTTGCGTTGCGAGTGACGGCATATACAGTCCGCCTTCAATTTTTTGCATAGGCAACCATGGTGCCCGATGAGTAGGATTAGTTGAGCAATCCAGGCGTTAGGTTATCTTCGACGTACCGTCGTCCGTCCGTGTGACTGTTGTGTAGCCAGTACAGCGCGTGGCTCGGCGTGGCGGCAGCGTGGGTCGTCGCGCTGAGGAGTTAGGATTCCTATATTTCCGGTTTCATATTCGTGTGCTTACATCTATCCACATGTATACTGCCATGTTACCATTGAAATCGATTTTATTTAGCTCGAAATTCTCCTTCACTTGCTCCTAAATGTTTTGTCTTTTGTTTCCCTTTTTCTTAAGTAGAGTTTTGGCCTTCGTCTTTTTTTTTTTTTTTTTTTTTTTTTAAATTCAAGCTAATATCAGATGTGGTTGATAAAAGGAATAAAATGAACCCGTGGTAATGACGAAGCACAATGCATGGGTACAACTGAAATATTTTTTGGGATGTTGATCAGAATTAAACGTGTGGTTTCGCAAAAGTGCCAAACTCGTGTAGTTAGACAAAATACACTGAAGATAGGTACCTACCTAATACTTTTTCTTTCTTAACCTCTCGTACTGACAAATTTAGATTGGTTTACCTTTGGAGTTTTAGGTAAAGAATTGAATTTGAATTTTCGTTTTAGTGCAAAGGTATATACAAAAGCTTATAGACAAATATGCTATTTTAATTACTCGCATTCATCAAATCTCATCGGGTTCTTTCCATTTTTTACACTCTTTCCCTAGAGAGATGAACACTTTTCGAAAAAAGGTATTCAATTATGGTTTATAGGTCGAAAGAAAGGTAAAATTTGTTCCAGGGTCTTCTCAGTTTATCGCATAGCATGGTTTGGGGGAAGGAGTGGATCTAGATGTATCTACAATTCTACATCTTCGTACCTATAGACGCTCCTTAATTAAAGAGCCTTTCTCCATAGCTAAGGTAGAAGGCCGTATAAGCATCCGTACTCCGCATGTTGCCAAATTTCCCCCTGATCAATTACTGTCTAGAAAAGTTAAAAATATCTTCCATGACATTTTCTGAAACTCTTAATTTTTCGAATAAAATTCGCCGGCATGTTTGAAAAGGAGCACGAAACGTTTTTCGGTAGAGCATCATTTTTTTTTTCTTTTAGGTCGTCAAATTTTTAGGGGGAGTTTTTTAGGATTGGGCCGCGGTGGCTACCGCCACCTAGAATATAAGGCGAAATTTGACATTGCCTGGCTATGCATACGGCTTCACCCTTTTAGTGCTACAGGATATCAATATTATGTTTGACTCCCAGAGGTGTGAGATTCCATAAAGAGTAGTTTATTTTATGGTTGATTTGACAGCGCGGCGGTCGGGCCGCGGTCTCGGAACAATCGTCGCTGCTCAGGTTATCTGATAAAGAACAACTTCTTAAATGCCGTCTCGGCCGTGGCCTTGCAGGGTGGCTAGAGAGCAGCCACGGAACGGATCGCATCGTTTTCGATGGATGCCGCATGTCAGTGCTGCTGCTCTCGGGCCCGGTGGAGTCGATTATGGAGGGTTTTCATGATGACGTCATTCGAAGGTCGTCGTGGATCCAGGAGTTAGGTGACATCTTTGTGATACTGTCATCTCAACCCGAGCCCACGTGGAAATTCAAAATTATTAAAAATTACCACAGCGTGTTTTTTTTTTTTTTTTTTTAATAAAAAATATATTCTTTTTGCCTTTAGGAGAAGTTATTTTTCTCAAAAAAAGTTTTTTTTATTTCAATTTTAACTTTTTTTCTTATTACTCGGAAACCAATTTTCATTAAAGAAAGCTCTAGTTGGATAATTTTTTTTTCACATCGATTTTATTTTCCTCATATATATAAAAAAAAATTAATTGAAATCGGAGGAGCTTCTTTCCATCCAGAAAACCTGTCTTCAAGTTGAAGAGAATATTTTTACTCCCGAACAGTAAAAAAATAAAAAAAAGAGTCTCATTCTCATAATACTGTGCTCGGTTACTTTAAAGCATGACTTTATCGCACTTTTAGTTGAACTACTATGCCACGGAAGATCACCGCATGACCCCTTCAATGTTGCCAAATTTCAATTTTGGAGCAGAGTTATGAATACCTACTGCCTTCGGAAATCTTCAATTAATTGTATAAGTGCAAGTGTAGCCCCCCCCCCCAAAAAAAAAAAAATAAACCAGAAAAAAAATGCACAAATCGTATAAGATAAACTTGTATCTTATAGGAGGCATTGCTCAACGTCTGAATAATCATGAAAAGGCAGTAGAAGCTTTATGACGAAAATACATCGGGAAGTTATCACACCACAGTTCATGGAATTAATTTTTTAAATGACGCGGCATTACCTCAACTGACAATGGTCTTTGCACGAACTTTTATAAGGTGACGAACCCGGACAAGACTGCTGTGAGTTTCGCACGGACAGTCCTGCCTTTGAGGTAATGCCTATATTATGGTCGACACTTGATCACTTGATTTAAACTGGCCTCCATGGCCTTGGCAGTGAGCTGAATGAACCCCTGCTTCAATACTGCCGTGTTCAGCGAGGACCGCATAACTGAATGGGGTTTACATATTGGAGTTAGGCGGTTCTTGTTTAGAACGGAGGATGAGGGGGCCCATCTGGAACTGGACCGGCGCGGCGCGGCGGCGCGACGACGGCGTTCATTCACGCTCATGGTTGCCGTTCTTCGGAGGAAAATACCCTATTACATATCATCTATTAGAGAAAATCAAATAATTCCCTTCCACGTTGGCAACGCTTTTACGACATCTAGAGATCTTCACTGCCGTGTTACGGAAAAACGTCTTACGATCACTCAAATGTTGTTATATCTCCTCTGATTGAAGACAAATCTTCTTAATAGCTCGCGATTTT